AATTAGTTTTAAAAAATTATTAATTAATAAAATTATTAATTAGTAGACTTAAAAGGCCAGTGAGCAAAAGCTGCAAAACCTTGTAGAAGTAGGTTCTCGTCTTCTATGTTTTTATGTAAAATTGAGATATGGTTTTATAACTTGAGAATGCTCAATCAGTGTGTTTTACTGTTGGAACTCCTTTTTTGAATGAATACACTCCAAATATGGTAGGTAAATTAATATTCCACCACAAGGGGTTGGAACCTGCCTTTAGGGGTTGGAACGTAAAAAATTTTCTACACAAATCTTCAAAAAATAGAATTATCAAAGGTTCCAAACCCTGCCCCAAGAGATGGAACCTCAACCGTAGAATGCACTTTTTGTTTTTGGCTTCCCACAACAAGGAAATATAATGATGCAATTAAATGGACTTTTACTCAAATGGAAACACATTCAAAACTTAATATTTGAAAATTAATTCAATATTACTATGAATAAATCATATATTCACAAGTAAATCAACTTCCAATCAATTCAATAAATAATATATTCCAATTCACATTTGGTTTTTAAATCATCAAAATCAAGAATAACATTCTCCCCCTTTTTTTATGATGACAAAACCAAATGTGCATAATGATAATCCAAAATAAGCAATGCATAAAGAGATTGAGTTCAAGAAAATCTCCCCTTTAGTCCATGCATTAGTTCATTTGCACATTTCACTCCTCTCCCTTTTTGTCATAATCAAAAAAGGAGTTCCATCAAAATCAAGGCTGCATGCACTTAGAAAAATAATTAGTAATCTAGTGGAGCGAGACTTGGCTTCCCCTCAAAAATGCAATTCAAGATTATAAGTTAAAAGTTCATAAGCCAATACCTAATCATTTGAAAACCATTAAAAGGGAAAGGAGGCTAAAGTGTACTAAGAGCAATTATGCACATATGGGCTAACCATATATCAAGATCAATAGCCAAATCACATGTTACAATATATATGCACATATATTCTAATTTCATAACTAGTAATCATAGAGATATCAATCTAGAATTAGCATATATCCTTACATAAAGATGCACAATCAATGTATATGAATTATAGTAGCAAGCTATGTGTGAGTATTAATCATGCCACTCCAAAATTCAATCATAAGCAAAGTGTGTAAGTCATATATACCTAATCATCAAGCAAGATATGACATGAGATATAAAATATAAGATTATAGGAATGAACTCAAACAAATGCATCTTTCAAACCTCACACAATTAAGAGATATCTTTAAAAATTGAGTCATATTAAGCAAGATCAAAATATGCACTTTAAAAATATAAATTTCACAACAAAGAGATCATAATAATTAACTCAAGAAAAAGTAAATGTGATGTTAATTGTTGCATGAGCAAGATTAAGAGCGTGAGCATAAATAGTCAAAGGATAATCATGTGTAACTAATTTGAATAATATAAATACTATTGAAAGAGAACATCATATGCTAGGATTAATCATTACTCTTCATAATACATTGAAAATTAGCATAAAACCATTGTTTTAAAAATTGGACCAGACCGACCGATTGAACCGATCAAACCGATACCTGGTATTAAAAATGGATCAGGTCAACATTTAGAACCGATAGAGTGGTTGAACCACTCAAAATTGGTAAAACCATTCGAACCGATACAAACCAAAAAACCGTTCAACCGGATGATTTAAATCCTTTGGAGGATTTACCTTAAATTTGCTACCCAAGGGCTTGAACACATGACTTCAAGAAGATTTTCTATGACTTTTGCCACTAAGACGTTACCTCTTTGATTGAAATGATTTGCTAACAATTTTATTTATTTTATTTTTGAAAGAAAAGAATTGATGATACCATCAAACAGAATCGAACTTCCTTCCTTTGTATGAACTTTGATGTTGAAATTAATATAGTGTTACTCTAATTTTTATCTTAAATATATAAATTAAAAGTGCGACAAATATAATTTTTTATAATTAATTTATATAAAAAAATAAAAATTGATATTTATTT